ATCAATAATTCTCTCTTTTAACCTACTTACTAGAACCACTAGGGGTCCATAGAGATATCTCTCTACTCGTGAACCCTATATCTAAATTTGACCATTAACCTGGCCGTCCCCATATCCCATCCGTTAATGGGTGTCAAACACACCATCGCCTCGGTACCCCATCCAGTATGAGAGTGAACTCTATCTCCTAAACCATTCTGGTATGAGATCTCTCAATCCCGTCCGACTGAGATAATGTCCACTGTAGGGTTCTCTATGTACTGGGTCAATCCACTATTTCCCAAGGTACACAGTAAACCTTTCGTATATAGATTTTCATCAACAAAACAACCACCAATCGCATACTAGCATCTCATTTCATATTCACAGGTTAATTTAAATTAACAATCAAGACACATGGTTATTTCCAATCCATCAATCAGATCAAGTAAATCATGGTTAGGCAACATAATCAATAAACAAGAAATAATTCAAAATAATAGTTTGAAGCGCACATAGAGGATAATAAGCAATTTAGGCAGTATATAAAAGATAAATAGGCAACATAGATAAGTTAGGATAATTAAACACTGATCAGTTCCTGATTCCACTAATGACCCGTAATTATTGTTAGAGTTTTTTCTAATTTTTACAGAACATGAGATTATTGATTATTAAGCTTTAAATTATCGTAACAGAGAATAAGGTGAGAGATCCTTACCCGGATCGGTATTTCGAAGCGCCGTACTATCTACTACGCCTCCTGACGGGCTCCGAATTTTTTAAATTTTTTCTGCAAAAATTAAAATATTTGTCACGTACCCAAAAATATCCCAACAACCCAAAATCGGTGTTGAAAAATCTTTTCAGCTAATTTTAGGGTGTCGACATAGTGGCAGTTTGCCTCGGTCTGACCGATTTTGGCCTATTTTGGCCGATTTTACACGTATCCCTACGAAAAAATACGTTAGGAAGATTCAGTTGGCCGAAAAAATAAAAAAACTGAAATCTACCGGTAAGGGGTCTTTGGGTGCAGCGGCTCCGTCGGTCCTTATTCGTAGCTGGGGTTCTTCTTCGGTAACTTGCACTAAAAAGAGACGGTGAACACAGTGGTCAAAGAATAGTGTGAAATGAAATATAGGAAGGGAGTAATCGGAGATGGTTTTAAATTTTGATCGGGCAGCTCCGCTGAGCTTTACTCACCGTTTCAGCTCACTCGCTGTCCCTTTTGCCCCGATATGACCATAGGGAGACTCGAAATTGAATTCCGAGCGGGAAATAGAAAATTTTACTTTTTTTGGCGGTCGGCGGTGGCTCCGGTGCGGCGGTGGCTGGTGGTCGGTCTCTTTCTTCGCCATCTGGTTGTTTTTCTCCTGCGAGGGTTGGTGCGGCTAGGGCTAGGGTTAGGGTTCCCTGGAACGCATACTTAAATACTCACTTCATGTCGATCTGGGTTGTCCGTTCGGGCATACGTAACCTCTCTCGTCTGTTGGATCTATCCTATTCGGAAAAAGAATATGGACCGTTCACTCGCGCGAGATAAGATCTGGACCATTGGATCGTCGGGCAGGCAGATCACTCACATGACCTCCCGCGTGGTGCTGATGTCAGCAGGGTTGCCACGCAACGTGCTCTGGTTCATCGAGCCTGCTGACCGGGCCGTCTGACGTGATCAAACTTTTTATTTTTGCGATTTAATCCCCTATTTTTAATTTTTCTTTAAAAAACACTTTGTGAATTCAAAATTTCACATATTTTTCTTAAAATTATTTTCAATTTTGTCTGTAATTTATTTTTTTCTCAAAAATTTAATAAAATCAAATTGAAATAAATTAAATTAATTATTTATATAATTTATTATAAATAAAAATAATTATTTCCGACTGATTTTTAGATCCGGATATTATATTAAAAATATGAGGTGAGAAAAAGTAAAATTTATGAAATATTTTATTATTAATTTTTTTAAAAAGTTCATAGAATATTTTATGAGGATATGATATCATATAAAACAAATTAACCATTTTATAGAAGCAAACTAATTCATATGATAACAAATTTCTTCACGTAATTACATTAAAGTTAACGATGGTCTATTAATAATTATCTTTTATTATTTTTTTTATCATCTATAATTACTCTATATGACATTCAAATTTTTCATTGCCATTACTTTATCAATTTAATGTCTATTTGTTCACGATCAATAATGTAATTATACATAACTAAAGTATGAATAATTTAAAATATAATAATAATAATAAACGACAATTAATAATAACAATCGAATAATGATAGAAACTTTCTTATTGATAATGAATTATAGTTAACATCGATAATAAATACTAAAAATTATTTTTAAATGCTTGAAGAAATACTAGATTCTAAATTTTATATACAACT